CCGTTCTGGAGGTCTGGTGGGGAAATAAAGTCTCAGATATCATATGAGATGCACCCTCTTGACTTAATAACAGTTCTCTTATTGTTTATGAATCAGTTTCTCGGCTGTCGTTGGCTGAAGATGCTTCCTGTTTGTCACGGTGAAGCCTCAGGTTGTGAGGTTCACGTTAGCTTCTCGTGGACGTTAACGCCCCCAAAACATGAGCAGGTTTTCCTCATTATAGCGTCAATACGTTTATTTTTATTTAGTTTAGTTTAAATGAACTCATATACAGCCGCCGTGCTTCCATAAAGTATTTTTATGCACATTTTTAATTGGATAAAGTTCATGGAAACGGCACAATTTTGCCCTCTTAAGATGGTTTTTTACTTGGAGTGAATGCGGTTGTGAATCCAATCAGCTGTTTGAGCCTCTGAGCACGAAACACGTCCAACACATGAGCACTTATCTCCACTTTTTCATCGTATATTAACTAAGTTTTGTTCATTTCTTCTTCTTCATACTTTCCTAATGAACGATAAAGGCTGTGTCCGAAATCCCTCCCTATGCCCTACATAGTGCACTATATAGGGTGCACGCCACTTTGTAGCGTTGTTCGAATTTTCAGCGGTAAATTTCATCCACTATATAATGCACTCAAAATATCCCACAATGCACCGTAAAAAGCAGTGTACAGCTGATGGTCACTAACCGAGCAATATGGACCATCATGCATTGCGCGAAAGGAAATGGAAACGGAGACGAACGAGAACACGAAAAAATTCCCGTTTGTTTTGTTAAATGTTATTTTACCCGGACAGTGAACGTCGCTAAAATTGCAGCACTCGGTTGCGATTTGGACAAACCACACCACTTTATTTAAATTGCTTTTAGTTACTGGATCCTGAAGAAACGCTCTCACATCGGATATACAGAAAAATGACAATAAACTTGATTTAATTTGATTTCTTAGCTTTGCAATAAACTGTTGATTGATGTGTTTGTACTACGCTGTTGCAGCACAAATCGTGGCTAGCGAGCGACGTAATTAACAGCTCGGGTAGTGTCTGAAATGATACTTTGCCGAGGTGCTCCCTATATAGTGGTCACTATACAGAGAGTAGGGAGTGAGTGGGTGATTTTGGACACAGCTAAACTCGTTTTTTCCAGCTACTTCTCATCTGTTCATTGCAGCGTGTAGCTCATAGCACCACCTTCTGACAACTAAACAAACTGAATTTTCTTTTTTTTATTTCCTGTAACATTTCAAAAGTCAAACATGACATCGGCCCACTTCCGGCACGTTCGAGAACCACTTCAGGCTTTTATTTTGATGTGCTGCAGCTCGTCTTTTCTGCTCAATCAGCTGTAAAAGTTTAACTTTGCCACCAAGTATTTCACTTTAAAAACTGTTTGGTTTTGTGTTATCGGGACCTGCAGCTACACGTGGTTCAGAAAACTGGTCTTTTTCTTCTTATTTCAACTCATCCCTCATCAAAGATTGTTTGATCAACTTGTCCAATATTGTAGATTCTGAATCGAGGACATGATGAGGAGTAACGGTGAACATTTCAGGTTTTTATCTTGAATAGTTTCTGAGATTTTGTCGTTCAAACAGCTTCAGCGTGAGCAAAAAAGCTCTGGAAGTGAGTCTATCTGCAGAATGTTCCTGAATGTTGTTGATGTCTGTTTAATATTTAATGCTCTCAAATTTTCATATAAATCAGAGGTGGTGGAGATGAAGCTGGTTTATAAATCTGATGATCTGAGAGTTGAGAGGAGCCTCGAACTTTAAGGAATGAAATCAGGAACGTTTTAAGGATTCTTCCTGTTTCGTGCTGTTCAGAAAAAAAAGTGAAAGTTTCAGACTTTTATGTTTAATAATTCCTGAAATGTTGTCAAAATTCACAAAGATCTGCAGAAAATAGGTCAACAGATGATTATTTTTAATCTAAAGTGTTCCATACATCCAGCTATGATTCCAGAAATGTCTTTATAAACATCTGTAGTTTATGATTCAGGTAAATCAGAGTTGTTGGAGCAGAAGCCTCCTGATCGTTAGAGATGGAAAAAGCTGCGTTGCTTTGCTGTATCGCGCCCGTTTACGTTAACGGATGTGATGACGTTTCTGCTCCAAACACTGAATCAATGAAAACTAGTCAGAGGAAGCTTCCACCAGCTCGACCTGAGCCTCAGACCTCCAGAACAGCTGCCAGACGTCGCTGCTGAACCTCCTTTCAATCAGTTTCATTTGAGTTTCCTGCACGTTAAAGACTCTGAAGCACACGTTTCCTGAAAACCTGCACAAATTTGTTCTTCTTTTTTTGTGTTTTTTTTTCCTCCTGACGTGCGAAACGGAAGCCATATTTCACCACCGCTCAGATCAGTCGGATGTGTTTGTTTTGTTGTTTTATTATTTGCCTAAATGATTATTTCAATGAGCTGCTTGATGTTTGGTTTGAATCCACCTGATATGCAAACGTGACTGTTTCTGGGGAATATCTGAAGGGCTACAGACACCAGACGAGCTGATGAGGTTCAACATCTACATATTAGTCTTCTTAAGCAGTTTATTTTAGAGGGTTTGATATTTAGGGGGTTAGCACACGGCCGTGTTTAGAGACGAGTTCGAGGACGACGGCGTATCTACGAGTCTCTCCAGTGATTATTCTGACTTTGTTCATTTTCTGTGAAACGACTCGGACGGCGAACGTCGAGACTTCCTGTGAGACGGATTATTTTTATGAGCTGTGTGATATTGTTAAAGACTAAAGAGGTAATAAAACAGTTTAGGGGACGTTTTCTGCTCTGTGGCCTCATTGTTCAGCCAGATGGAAGCTTTCCGTCCTCTCTCGGTTTTTGTTTTACATCTTTCCTCATTTTTCCACTGCAAGATTCAAGGATTCAAGGAACTTTATTGTCATGCCAGCTCACGTTTACATGTTTGTGGTACGAAATTAGTGCTCGGGTTTTTAAAAAGACCTAATAAATGATAAGTACAATGTGAAAGAAGAGCAAAATATGAGTAAAAATACAAACAATGCACGTGTAACTATAGTATGAAATATAAATATTAAAGTAGAAAAGCCAGAATTAGCTGTTCAACACTCAATATAAGTGTGAACAGTGAGGTAGAGCGGATGTTGCACCACTTGTAAGAATGAAAATATGGTTTATTGGTGCAAGTCGTGCATCTTGATAGAAACAGAACAACCACAAACTCTGAAATGTCTGAAGTCTAACAGTTCTACTGCCATAAATTAATATATAAATTAAATTAATGCCAGAAATCAGAAAAAGAAAAACAATTCTTTGATTACTTATTTTTTTAAAAAAAATACGAAAAATGGAATCACAGAGGACTAAACGTTTCCGAGAGTCCACAGCTGTTACCAAAAAAATGATGGTGACTCTACATACGATAGATATTATATTTTATTTATTGTTTTTGTTTATTTATTTCCATACCGATGTGCTCCATGTGAGCACAACCTGCAGTTCAACCGAATTCATCCAAACATGGCTTCACAATCGCACCAAGTCGTGAAGAATTCTTTACATTTTCACAGTCTGGCAAAACAAAAACTGTTGATTTTTAGCAATTTTTTTAAATTACACACATAAAATAAATTATCATTTAAATTAATTTTACAAAAAATGAAGAAAAAAAAGCGGAACTCAACATTTTTGCTTCATACATTTAAAAAAAAACTCCTAGAACATTTTTTTCGGCACCTCGAGACGTTCCACTGTGCTGAATGTATCCTCCAACACCTTGCTCCTCTGTTCACTGTTTCTGAGCCACACTGCGTTTATTTATTAATCCTGAATGTTTTATTTGGCTCTCAGGTCTCTAACGTTCCACTGAACACGCTGCCTGCAGTTCAGAAGTCGTGGCGTCTTGGTTGCACCGATGAGCGAAGACGTTTTCTACAGAATCTTTACAGAGCAAATGGCTGATTTTTGGCCAAACAAATGATAAAAAAAATTGTCGTTTTTTAGCTGAGATTTGGTGAATTTTCCCAATTGACCCGTTCGATACACTTGATTGGTTTAAAGACTGTTGGAATGATAGAAATACGTCGATTTTTCTGCTTTTGCAGAGTCTGGCTGTGACAGATGGTGTCAGTTTGGTGATTAAACCAAAAACCCACCGGTGGGTTCAGAGGATTAAAGCCAACTGCAAATAAAAACACCAACGTTATGTTATGAAATGAGAAATAGCGTAAATACCTCTTTATGCCGAGTTCTGTTACCAACAATGATCCAACTTTTCAGGCCCAACGCTGGTGATTCAGAATCTTTACAGAGCAAATGGTGGATGTGTAGAATTTGTTATAAAATATTGTGATTTTTTAGCTGAGATTTGGTGAATTTTCCCAATCGACTCGTTTGATGCACTTGAACAGTTCAAAGACTGTTAGAAAGTTGAATCCATGAGGATTTTTTCTGCTTTTACAGTTTCTGGCAGTGATAGACGGTGTTGTTTTGGTGATTTTTTAAATGTTTTTTAAGGCTTTTTTTTAAAAAACCCACTGGTGGGTTTTGGGTTCAGAGGTTTAAAGTCAGCAGCAAGTGAAAAGTTGAGCAACAACTTTAAATCGCATTAGTAGAAATAGAATAGAAATAGAAACCTCTTTCCCTCTTTACACCACATTTTATCACAACTTTTTAATTCTTAGCATCGGCAGTGTTTCGGGTCCAGCTTCATACAAAAACTTGACAATAACTAAAATGTCAGGAAACATCTTCAGGTCCTAAAACTGTTTTTTACCAACAAATATGAAGCAAAAGTTTGGGAAAAAAAGTGTCATATTAGATGTGAGATGCACAAAATGACTCACCTGGGAGTTGTCGGGGCTGTGGCTACTTCCTGGAGGCTCAGTAGGGAATATTTCAAACCTACAGAAACTCGCCGTCCATCTGCAGCCATCGTGTCTAAACCTTGTGCTGCTTTTGTCTCCTTCCTGCCTTCCTCCACGTCTTCCTCCCTCCTCCTGCTGTCTCTCCTGCTCCCTCAGGACAAACTGTGCCTCCCTCACCACATCCTGGAGGAGAAGGGCCTGGTGAAGGTGGGCGTCACGGTGCAGGCTCTGGTGGACGAGGCGCCGCCCAAGCTGCTGACGTGAGCTCCAAGACACCCGCCTGGACCCGAACACTGACGCTGCGACTCGCCCGCATCCTCCCTGGAGTGTGTTTTTTTTAAAATTTATATTCAAGGATGCGAAGCGGCGTCGCCCATCGGAGGTGGATTCATTTTTACTAATCGATCAGAGGGAGCTTGTGGGATCCAGCAGAGAGCCTGATGGAAGGCCAGCGTCTGACTGGCTGCAGGTTGTTTCTCAGCATGTTTGAACAAACACCAGACAAACACACACTCTGTCACCTGAAGGGCATCGATCCAACGGTTTTGTTTTGGGGCTTGATTTAGAAAATCCGTACACTGGCTGGTACCAAACGTTTGAGGAAATACTGACAGGAAGAGATTTTGAGAATAAAGTCCAAATATTATAGAAATGATGTGATTTTTATGGGAATATTCGTAATAATTTAGGTGCAATTTCACTTGAGAAAGTTTTAAAATTCTGTTTTAATTTCACTAAAACCTTCACAGAAAGACGTAGTGACATTACAAGCTGCGTTTTCTGTAAAATTACAACTTTGTTCTTTCGCAAAATATGCAGCTTTATTCTCAGAATCTCAGTGTTTTCCTCCAGAACTGTGGCTCTCTAATAATCTGAGGTTTTTTACTCCAAATCGGATGCAGTTCAGAAGCTGTTTAACAGTTTTTTCGTTTCATTCTGAATCATTTATTTCAGTGTAAGAGCACCGACTGTATCTATGCACGCTATCCAACACTCCGACGACCGCCACCTATCCGTCTGCAGCTCTCTGGTTTTTCTCCTGCTGAGGTTTCTGGTGAAGTGTTTCTGGACTGCGTTGAGTATTTTTTTTTTCGCTCTCGGAAGAGAATAAAAACAAAAAATATTATAGTCTTAACGGCTTTTAACCGCCATTTATATTTAAAACATGAAGATATTTATGATATAAAGAGGAGCTGTTTTGAGTCGATGTATACAGTCAGAAAGAAATAGTCCAGAAATATTTTTCTCTAATATATTTTGGGTATAATTGTGTATGTTTTCTAAAGTTTTGCTACGACTCCGTGGAGCTGCGTCCCTGCAGCAGCTCGGCCATGGAAGCCGGTCCAGGTGATGTCGGTCTGCTCGTCTCTCGCTCGGCGTTCGCTGAAGCTGCTTCCTGATGTTTGGATGAGATGCAGTTTGCTTCATGTGCCAAAATGTGGTGATCGGACAAACACAAAGTTCAGTTTTAATCATGGAAAGTCGTGGATGGATTATTGAACAAGGGGCCTGAAGGGCTCAGAGGGATGGTTTTTTAAGGGGATTTGAGTAATTTGGTCAAATTTATGAATAGCAAGTCGATTAAGACACTTAAAACGACTAGAAAGAGATGGAACAGAAGACAAAAAGTGACCTCAAAGCAAAACAAAATGACACAAAACAACCACAGATACTGGATTTGACTACGAAGAGACAGAAAATGACCACAGAAAGACAGAAAGACCCACAATGAGACGTAATAGACAACAAAGAGACACAAATCAACTACAGATACTTAACATGACAGCAACAAGATGGAAAAGGACCACAAAGAGACTCAATATGACCACAAAGAGGCACCAAAAGACTATAAAGAGACACAGACACAAAGCTACCAAAGCAAGACGCAACAATATTGCAAAGAGACACAGAATTAACACAAAGCAACAAAAATGACCACGAATGGACACAAAACAGAAACAGAAACACAACATGACGGCAAAGTGATAAAAAATTACATCAAAATGACTAAAAAGGTCATAAACATGACGACAAAGTGATTGGAAAGGACCACAAAGAGACTCAACATGACCACAATGAGACACAAAACCACAGAAGCTCAACATGACTATATCAAGATTGAAAATGACCATGAAGAGACAGAAAGACAAAATGACCACAGAAGCTCAACGTGTCTGGAAAAGATGGAAAAGGACCAGAAAGAGACAAAAATTGACCACAGAGAGACTGAAAAATACCACAAATAGACATAAAACTACCACAGCAAGACTCAACATGACCACAAAGAGACTCAATATGACCACAAAGGAACACAAAATGACCACAACAAGATACAAAAGGACTACTGAGAGACAAAACATGACTACAAAGAGACAAAAAAACAACCACAGAAGCTCAACATGACTATAACAAGATGGAAAATGACCATGAAGAGACACAAAAAGACCACAAAGAGGCTTAACATCACTCCAAAGAGATGGAAAAAATAACAACAAAAAGACACAAAACAACCACAACTGGACTCAACATGACCATAACAAGATGGACAATGACCACAAAGAGACTTGATATGACCACAAAGGAACACAAAATGACCACAACAATATACAAACGGACCACTGAGAGACACAAAACAACCACAACTAGACCAAACGTGACCATGACAAGATAGAAAATGACCACAAAGAGACTCGATATGACCACAAAGGAACACAAAATGACCACAACAAGATACAAACGACCACTGAGAGACAAAAAACAACCACAGAAGCTCAACATGACCATAACTAGATGGACAGTTACTACAAAGAGACACAAAACAACCACAACTAGACTCAACATAACCACAACAAGATGGAAAATGACCACAAAGAGACTTTAAATGACAACAGATAGAACATTACTATAGGAAACCCAAAACGAACCCCAATACCAACTACACAAGTCCAATCACAGCCTCCTCCGGGTCTGTGCTCAGGATCCCTCTGGGTCTGAATCCATCCATGACTCACCTGAGAGCATCACACCTGCTGTGTCTGTACCTGGACACCTGTAGTCTGACACCTGAGGGCCAGGATCAGCCAGTAAAGACGAGATCTCACGTAGCTGCAGCTGCGCCTCCATCAGTCTGGATCTAAAACTGCTTTTTACAGAAAACCTGAACTCGTGTGATGATCGTCTGGCCGGTCGGTGCAGTGAAACCTCCACTAGTTCTGTTGGAGTTTGCACCGATGTTGAGGTTTGAGCTGCTGCTGCTGCTTGCTGTGAGATCAGACGTGACTCAGGGCAGGTTCTGGCTTCTTGTTTAAACTGTTTGACAACCTGCTGCATCGACAGTGTTTGTTTGTCTGAAGAGTGAATTCTGAACTACGTGGGACAAACAGACTTTAAAGGGGCCGTTCGGTATTTACTCACCTCCATCGCTCGACTTTAAACAGACTTTTACGCACATTTTTAATGATCGCAGCAGAAAAAGTTATGGAAACTACATAAATTAAAACAAGCTCCACTCACCTGAGGGTTTTTTTTTTGCTCTTCACAGTAAATAAAACACATTTTTTTCAGATGGATGGAGCTCACAGGATTGATCAGCTGTTGACATTTTAAATTGAATTTTTTTACATTTTTATTTTACAAATAATGTAAAAACCAACATGCACAACATTTTAAGCACCCTGAGGTGTTACAAATAGAAAAAAAAGGAGGCTCTGCATGCTTTAGATTTTTATTACTGGCATTTTTTTCCCAACACTCCTCTTTGATTTGCTGTTCAAACACCGTCTGCAGTTCAGCCGAGTCACTCCTAGCTTTTGTGCTGCATCATGGAAAGCAGATTTTTTTTGTTGTTTTTTTTTGCAAAATCTAGTGCAAAAGGTTTATTTTTGGAGAATTTAAACAAAACGTGTGCAATAATATCACGACTTTAAGCTTAGATTTGGTTGAGTTTCCCAACAAAACAACACACGATGAGTTCAAGGACCGTCGGAAAGTTAAAAATTCTTTTTGCTTTCACAGTTTTTGAACATTTTTTTAATAAAAAGATGCTTTTTAAACCTTCCAGTAGGTTTCGGGGTTCAGAGGAGTCACCCAAATTAAATTAATATTCACTGAAATCAGTGGAAAATATTAAAAATACCAAATGCCGCCCCCTACAGGCAGAAAGCAACAACTACAGGAGCAGTTTTAGTTCCTTAATTTTACGCTGTTTTCGCCCAAATCGACGTTCCTGTAGTTGTCGTTTGTTTAAATCACAAATGTACGTACTGCCCCTTTAAAGTCTTTGCAGGTCTGAGATCATGTTTTGCTTCTTAAACCTGCAGGTTTGTATGAGTGAGTGATGAAGAGATTTTTTTGTTTTCCTGTGCAGCTTCGTATCCAAAGCTTGAGCTACTTAAAGATTCAGCAGTAAAATAAAAGTGAAAAAAAAAAAAAATCATGAAATAAAATAAAAGAAATGCTTCCACTGGATAGATTCCACAGTTGCCAAAACAAACCTCTCCCTCCGGATTTCTTCGCTATAGGCTCGTGTACATATTATTTATGGCTGTGTGTTCCTGTCCTGTACATCCACCGTAAAACACTCACACCTGCAGACTGGAGGCGTCTCTTCTCCATCATTATATCAGTTAAACATAAAGACACGTATTCCAACACTATGGCAGCTTGGTGAAGAATAAAAACTGTATATTCTTCTGTATTATTTTTCTTTTTAAAGCAGTATTATTTTCCTCAGTAAAGAGCAACAAATTGTCTTCCACACATTCCTGATGTCAAGTTTATGAACAGAATCCAAACTCAGAGTCGTAAAACAAACATTATGAGGATTTTGTGCTGCAGGAAACTGAACCTTGCCTTACACTTGGCTCATATTTGACCACATCGTCACAGCGTTTCGGGTAAAAAAAAATTTTTTAAAAAGCAATAAAACCAAAGCGGCTGCTTCCCCGACAGAATCTGCACTTTAATCTTGTGTATTTATGTCTTTGTTTTGGCAACTGAGAGAATCTGAAACCACCTTTTAGAAAGAATCGACGGAGAGTTTAAAATGTGACGCTGGTGTAAATTGTGTACATGTGCCTGCTGAAGCAGTGTTTTTAATGTCTCTTCTTTTGTATAAAGGTTGTTTTGTTGTCTTGTTTTTTTTGTCCACAAACGGCCTGTATTTCACATTTTTGTACTTTTTCTGACTTGGGAGCAAATTTATTTTTATGTGACTTCTTTTCAGGTTTGTCGGAACTTTTTTCGATGTAACAAGAAAAAAAAAAAAACCCTTTTGTAACTCTTTGTGAAACCTTTTTTGTGTAATTTGTTTGTACAGCAACTTAAATTCTCTACGTGCATGAAACGTCCCCGTAACGTCGCCTTAACTGCTGTGAATACTGTAAATAGTTTACTGTACTTCTCATCACTTTATCAGTAAAGACGTCACCTGTCGAAAACAACACACCTGTCTGTCTGTTGTCTGTGGATGGATGGATGGATGCTGGATGGATGGATGGATGGATGATAGATGGATGGATGGATGATAGATTGATGGATGGATGATAGATGGATGGATGATAGATGGATGGATGGATGATAGATGGATGGATGGATGGAGGATAGATGGATGGATGGATGGATGGATGATAGATAGATAGATAGATAGATAGATAGATAGATAGATAGATAGATAGATAGATAGATCACAGAATATTTTTTTAAAAACACAATAAAAGACAGAAAAATCTAAAAGTATTAAAAATGGGAACCTTAATAAATATAAATAGAAGCTGTTCTAGACTGCGGCGCTGCAGCATCTCTCCGGGTTTGTTACATATTGATTTGATTCTTGAATGTAACTAAGTACATTTACTCAAGTACTGATGTGCAGTTTTGATGCGTCTTTACAACTTTAGTTACTGGATGTAATTTATTAAAAGGAAATCTAACTGTACAACTTCAGGAATACTGTGTTATAATTCAGTATTCTCCATGAGGAGTATTTTTACTGTCAGTACTTTAAGTATATTTTAATGCTTATATTTGTTGTGGAGTTTTGAATACAGTAATTTTTTATTTTTTTTTTTTTTACACAGAGCTACGTTTACTAGTAAAGGATCTTCTGAGTTAAACTAACCAAGGCAGGATAAACCAAAGTTGGAGTATTTTCTAAATTCCCTCGTTGTGTTTTCTCACCGAGCTGGAAGATCCTGACTTGATTTGTCAAACTAGCAGCACTCAGGTCTTTTATGTAAAGAAAACTAAGAAAAACTGGCAGAAAATATTCATCAAGTACTCAT